TTCCCTCATTTCATATCAGTGAAACTACCTGCTACTAAAGTGGAGAAAGGAAGGGTTCATTTACCCATGTGTTTACTTTAAATAAAAATATTCTCAGCTCTTCATGGGAACATTCAATTCCGCTTGTCTAGCTTACTTTTGAGACATAATCATTTTTCCTACACACTTGGAAAAATAGCTAAAACTCATGCTTCTTTTGGGATGAAACAGTTAAGCAGGACATAACACAGGAAACAACCAATTTACTAATCCATTAGACCAATACAGATAAAAGCAAGAGACCTCTGTTCTAAGGATGGAGCAAGCAAATGAGAAAGAGAACAGGAATGTAAATTACTACTTGTATGGGGGCTTTTTATTTGCTTTAAAAGTTTATTCAAATATAAAGAAGGAAGAGAAAACCAGAAGAAAATAAGACAAAATAGTAGGCCACAGGTAAGTAGATAAAGATGTGCTGAGGTCAAATGCATATAAGGTGCCAGAAGAGCAGGGAATGAGAAGAGCAAATCACTGACAGGAGACTGATAAAAAGATGAAGAAGACAGCTGAGGACAGGCTGCTATCTAGGTAGGATTGTCAAAGTCCTCATGAAGGACTCTATGAAGCACTCAGGAGGAAACTGCTCATTGGAATCCCTAAAGCTCACTGATTAATGTCCCCAAGGAGGAAACAGAGCTATCAGTGAGATGGGCTTTCCCTCATATTATGGCCCCTGGTGGAAAAAAAAAAAGGCTATCTTCAGTTCCTTTATCCTATGTGAGGTTAAAGGACCATGATACTTTAAATCTCCTATATGTTTTTCCATGTTATCTGACTGCAGCAACCAATGTCTTGTGAAAATAATGCACACAGAGCTCCCTTTCTTAGAAGAATTTAACTCTTCTGCAAGACTCCTATTTATTAGGTAATTTTACTTTGGTTTTGAATGTCTGGAGAAGAACATCTGAGAAAACTTAAAATACTAACCAAGTACCATTCAGGTTTCTCCATCTGCTTAAGAAGCCACTTGATTATCCATATTCCAAACCAATAAGCATTTCATTTCATCATCCCAAGAACATAATTCTTTCTGTTTTTTACAGAACACCATCCCCCCCAAAACTGAAAAACATACCCTCCCAGCATTTGCATATTGCTGCTCTGGATTGAGTTGTTCACACTCTCTGTGTATCAGGTGATGTATCCACAGGAGGCCCTTTCCTCCAACCTATGTTTGTTCAACATCAAATTTCACCAAGAGATCTAGAACACTTAACACCCCTAAGCTATTTACCTGAGACAAAAACTTATACAATCTGATTCCATACCCTCTCCTGTTGTTCCACGTCTGTCTGTAATTTTATTAGTTTGCTCCAAGAGATCTGTCTGACACAGAAGAAACAACAAAGTAAAGGTGGACTTGGAGATAATGCCAGTAAAATTTTGGACTTTGAAAGCATTTCCCACATCTGTTTATTTTTACTGCAATACATTTTCCAAAGGGAACAGGCATAAATGTAAAACCAATTTCTGCAGAAAACACTCTTAGAAATTTAACAATGTCTAGGTCTACAATAAAACTTGCTTTTATCTTTCCAGTGTCTTTAAAAAACTTTCCCGTAGCCTGTTCTGCTACTGTTATTCACATTAGTTATATTGTATATGAATATTTAAGTTACCTCACATGAAGTTAAGGGAATGGGATTCAAGTAAGGTTTCCTGCCTGTTAATCACCATAGAATGACACCTTCCTGATACTGTCTGTTGAACAGAGAGGCAACTTGTCTTTTGGAAGTTACATGAAAAGGGGTAGTACATGACAACAGTGGTAGCTGGTGTTTAGTATAGTGGTAGATAGATTTGTTTAAAAAAATAAACTGCAAAAAGCATAAACCTGTGTTTTGTTTTTTGAAAAATGTGCATGTGAATATGTAATGAGTTAGTTTGGTATATGCACAAAATTTTGCAAAGACAGGTAATTTTCAGAATTGCTAGTAAACATTTCTATAAAAACTAGTGTTTTCCTGTTTCATAAAATATTTGTTACTCTGAAATTCAAAAGCCATATGGAAACTTTACAACTTCTAGTTAAAAAATAAGTAATGGAAGCACAGTAAAATTTACTCAAAACAAAACTAAAAAGCCAGTCTATAAGCAAGCATTTCCTATGAAAGACAAATTCCTAAGAGAACAGATCACCCTCACCCATTATCTTAAACTTCAGAAGAGTTAACATTCTGAAGTTTAAACACAAAAAAAGAAATGTCTCTCATTATAATACTCTACCATCAGTTCTGAGATATTAGAACTTCTAAACATCGATAGTTAAATTTCTCAATTGACTTTCACTACTCTGATAATAAATCTTTCAAAACAGTCTAGATTATTATAATATAGGACAATACACTTCAGTCTCTGCCTCTTTAGTTACACTGGTGACTATGAAGCCAAACACAATTCCACAAGAAATAACTTGCTAAACTTATAATTTGTCTCTTGCTACGTTGATTATATTAAAATAATCCAGCCTAAATCCTGTGATGTTGTACAACACACAAAAAACATGGCTGCCTAGAGTTAACTATTTTCTTGATACAAGGGCACTTCAAATTCCAGAAGCATCCAGAGATTCAAAACACTTCAATTTTATTAATTCATGGTTAGAGGTATAAAAATTGGTACATTAAGAGAAAAGCATTTCTACTATAGCCTCGAAATCTATTAAGAACATAAGGAATTTGATTAATAAAGGGTCATTTTTCTTTAGGCCCAATCACATCAATACCAGCTTGACCTGCAAATTTCTAAACTACTGTGCACAACAGCTACTGTGCTAAAAATATGCTATTACTCAAGCTTTGAGATATTCTCTCCAGAGACAGAACTTCCTAATAGGAGATTCAAATTAATAGGAAGTGCCCTTCCTGTGTTTTCTGGACTCTAGGACTAATGGGTTTGTTTTCAACAGCTTTTAAAAAAAGAACAAGCAGATTTACCAGTTGATTGGTGTTCATGCTTTAAAGCAAAGTGACCTTGTATACAAAACCAAAGCGTAGTTGACCACAATTGTCTCTGTTCAGGCACAAGGCTGTAGCAACTTTGGTTTTTCCTGTGTTTCAGAAGGAATTTGTACAGGGTTTGCTTTGAGAGATGGGAAGGAGTTGAACACAAAAATAAGACTCCTACTTTCAGGAAAGCAATTTTTATGCAGAGAAAGTGAACAGTTCTGGCCATGTGTATACAGCTATGCCAAACGTACCTGACTCACTCAGCTATATAAAAACACTATATAAACTCAGCACTTCTTAAAAATAAACACACAACATATACTCTGTAATATAATACAAGGGAAAAAAAATTCATAATCTACAATTAGGACTTACAGTGACAATCAATACCAGTTTTGAAGAAAAAATGTCCTTTAGGATCAACTAACTTTTCAGGTCAGCGTGCTTTTTGCATTGCATACAGCAGAAACATGAAGCCAACAGGCTAAAATACACATGGAAATGCACTTTTCTTTTTAATACTAATTACATATTTGATTTTGATTTGTGAAGGATGAGGGGTAAACAGACAGCTCCAGTTAAATACAGTTAGATGATGAAGTTCAACAGCCAAGAGTCTTATCACTTAGAAAAGTTTTTCAATCTGTTTCATACGCACAAAAAACCCCACCCAACATTAACAAAGGTAAACAATACGGATTTTGACAGATGGGATCCTCCTGACTTCTCACTGCATAAACCCAGGCCCCGGCAAGACTCTGGTTACCGCAACATTTCATCACCAACAAAGTGATGACCATCTGCAATGACTTCAGCAAATGCAAATGAAAAAACAACGTGTCTTTAACCTGGTAATAACCTTTATCTTTCCTACTTCTAAATTAGTTGTCTTAAAACACATACAGCAGTTCAATTTTAATAATTAAACTTCATATGTACAAACACAAAAAGACTTTAATCTTAACCTAAGTTTATTTCATTCTCTCCCAGTTAACGGAAACTTATCTCCTTATTGTAAATGTCACTGCTTCATGCTGGTTTGCCATATTTAAAAAAAAAAGTATTAGAATAAAAGAACCTTTGAGAAAGTACTACTTTCATCCTGGATTACAAAATAATCATTAAATACTTTTTCACAAGATTGAAAGGTATGTGAGTCCTCCACTTGTGGGAGATCTTAAATTCTTCATTAGACAAAGTTGCTGATAACGGCTCAATAGTAAAAACGAGAACAAGTTCCCAGGAACTGCTATGAAATAGTCCCTGGTTGAGCAGGGAGGTTGGAGATGACCCACTGTGATCCCTTCCAATCTAACCGATGCTGTGTTTCTGTGATATTGGGAGATACAGCCATGTAACCTAGTCAAGTATATATTAAGCATTTCACTCTCTATCAGGGAATGCTTAAACTATTTTAGTTATCTTACTATTAAAACATAAATATGAAAAAAAATGGAAAAAGGCCAGTCAGAGATGAACCTCCCAAACATTTCAAATGTACTTTGTCCTTTCACGCTACGGTAACAGGATCAGTCTCAGAAGAATCTGACTGGTTTAAGGTCTCATGTAGAAAATTTAATTTCACGATCTGTTCACACACAGATATTCCCATATATTTTTCTGATAATTTGACTTTTTTCCACTTTTAAGGCTAATGGAAACCCTTAAGCAGTGAAGTTCTGCTACAGATCACAAGAATAGTTAAACTTTGCTCTAACCAGAGCATGACCTGGGAGGAAAAGACAAGAGTAACGAAAGTTTAACTGCAGCCTGTCATTAAACCTCTGTTCTGTGACAAGCTTCCTCAGGCATCTTAAGAGAGGTCTCTCGTTAAAAGCAGCACATTTATTGTTGTAAGAAGGGCAGAGAACTAAATGCAGGACAGAAAGATGTCCTTTTCTTCTGAGCTTTGAGTATCACTTCTGTGATGTGTCATTTTTTTTGAGACCTTCAGTATATTTCCTAAAATAAAAAGAGGAAAACTTCAGCTACAGAAATAAACAAAAATCTCACCTTGTTATTTTCACACTTGTATGGGATTTTGAGGGTATCCATGGCCTTGATCATGGCCTGCATTGCTGTAAATATATTCTGGTACACCAGTTTTGTAAAGCCCTTTTTGTCTTCATCAGAGTAACCTGATCCATGAATGATTCTCATCTGCTTGATAAATGTGCTTTTGCCACTCTCTCCTGTGCCTGAAAGACAAATAAGAAGGATATGCTTTACCCACTGGACACATACATGACTTTTTTGCACAATGCTGACAGCTTAGTGCAGGGTTGAACAGTGTCAAGGGGTACTTGCAAGGTAACTACAAGGACCAGTTTAGTGTCAAACAGCAGCATCAGTAGCAACTGAAGAACAACTGAATTAAAATTTGCATTTTGATTTAACAGCTAAACTCGCGAGTAAAACAAAATTCCAAAATATACATACTATATATGACTGCATATTTAAAAATCTTCCATTCTTAAAGACGTAATTGTTCAAAACCTCTAAACTCATGTAACTACTATCAGACATTCTATCACAAAAATTCAAGGACTAAGGGAAAAAAAATTTTCCTAGGCCAACTTTCAGGACACTACCATAATCTATTGGTATTACAACCGACAGATACATCTGTATTTTGGTTTTGTTTTTTTTTTTATTGATTTGTTTGGGTTTTTTTTGTTTTCTTTGGTTTGTTGGGTTTTTACTTGTTTTGTTTGGGGGGGTGTAGTTGGGTTGGGGTTTTTTGTTGGTTTTTTTTTTTTGTTTTTTTTTTTTAAGCAAGTATTTTAACAATCAAAGCCCTGTAAACTTCAATCTCAGAACCATGTGAAATCACTGTCAAATTAAAATTTGGCTCATATTCATTAACAGGCAGTCATTCCTTTCATTTATTTTTTTTTCATGCTTTGTACTTTGTACTAAAAGTAGTTTATTAATGAAATATGACTATTTGTCAACTCAGAAGTTAAGATCTGCTTATTGGAAACTTCACAAAGGTTACAAAACACATTTTTCCTTTGCTCCAATTCAGCAAGCTCATCTGTGACTACAAGAGCTTATCTATATTATTCATGTGTTTGCTTAAGAGGAGGAGTTGAATTGCACAGCCACATAAACCCTGCGTTCTCCCAAGCTACTCAGCCTGCAGAAAACAAAACACATTGCTCAGTGCTGTGTTTTTCACAGACTTTCAGCCGGGCCTTTATTTTAATCATTTCTGTAAAGCTTTCATGCGTCATACCATAATAGTCATATCAGGACAAAGGCAGCCTTATATGCCCCTTAGATTATGTTTCAGGTGCCTTCTCAGAAAAGTGTGTTTCACAGCAGTGCAGCTGCAAGGTTAAAGGAACAACCCTTAACTATTTCTGAGATAGCATACACTGCAAAAATCTGAGCCTTTACCATGAGCATAATTTTGAAACCTTCACTCCCAATTCCTGCACACATAAAACAAACTACTAAAGTAAGTTTTCCTTACACGCACATTCCCAGAAAATCAAGCATGATGTTACACATTACAAAATCATAGAATGGTTTGTGTTAGAATGGACCTTAAAGATCATTTAGTTCCAACTGCCCTGCCATCGGTAGTGACACCTCCCACTAGACTAGGTTGCTCAGAGTTCCATCCAACATGGCCTTGAACACTTCCAGGGATGAGGGCAGCCACAACTTCTCTGGGCAACCTGTGCCGGTGTCTCACCATCTTCATATGTAAAGAATTTCTCCCTAATCTCCCTCATCTCCCTAATTTCTCCCTAATGTCATCTAAACCTGTCCTCTTTCAGTTTAAAGCCATTCCTCTTTGTCCTACCCTTACATGCCCTTGTCAAAAGTCCTTCTGCAGCTTTCTCGTAGACCCCCTTGAGGTACTGAAAGGCTGCTAGAAGATCTCTCTGGAGCCTTCTCATCTCAACACTGAATAACCAAATACTGTCCGATTTTACTTTCTCTAGGGAGAAAGTGGTTGCTATTAATTTAATGAAGAAGAACATGCTCTGAGGCTGAAAAGTGAGACCAAGCCTGCTTCCATTCTCAGCCTTCACAGGGTACAGTGCAGTACTAGGTGCCCAGGCCACCTCTTCAGAGAACTGCCCAGCCACCAGGCACAACTCGCCCCACACAACCCGAGCAACTCATGTTAACCAGGCACAAGTCTCTTCAGAATGGGTGGTGTAGTATGGGCGATCCTGGGTCAATGATAATTGCCTGTCTTCCAGTTCATCAGAATCAGAGGTGAAATCTTTACACTTCTGCAATTGATAGACCGCAGTGGGGAGAAAACTTTCCTTAAGATTGCACAAAATTACAAACCTAGACAATACAGAACTATTACATTGCAAAAAAATACTTCAGACCACTCTTAAGACCACCACAGTTATTCTCTTTTTCTGAAATCTATGAAACAGTCATGTCCTTATATGAGAAGTGAAATAAAGTGCTTTACCTTATATTTTTTATCAATTGTGTAATACTGTGCAGCTTTTTTGCAAAATATGTCCTTTAGTAAAAAAAATCTATTCAACATGAGCCTATAAAGCACAGAACAGTATATCAGATGCCTTTTGGACATGATTAACTCTTCTACCAGAAGTTCTGCTTTAACTAATACATAAGAAAATAATTTCCACCAAACACCTCTGAATCAGTAGAATACCAAGTGACTTCCAGTTTTAGTTCTGACACTTTTTCACATGTGAATTTGTGTTCCTTCAAAATCTTCAAATGAAAATTTATCGTAGAGATAGAAAGAACATGCTTTTATTATCCCCTGAAGCTTACAATTTTTTTAATTCTTTATTAGAGAAGACAGTATTTCAGACTAGTTACATCTTGAAAGTGAGTCTACAACTATCATAAAATGTAGGAAAACAAAATTAAAATCCAAAGAAGAATCTAAAATTTAAGTCTGCATCTCATTCATCTCTGTGGTTCTGTAATTGGATGTCACTGCACTCAGACTGTGTCAGACAAAAAATAGTAACAAATTATACTTGGAGATCTAAGACGTAGATACACACAAATTATATATATATACACACACATTTTATATACATATGTGTAGCCATACATATGTATATAAAACTATATAATGTATATACATATAAAATACATTTAACTATCCATACATATATGAAAATTGTATCTATCTTTCTTTTTGAAGGCCACCTCAAAACCTCCTCAAGTCTGTCCCTCGCCAGGTCAATGCTTAAAACTGCTTGTGTCTGCCCACAGACTAATTTTCTAGCTAAACTAGTGGCAACAGTGAGAACATTTCTAGTCCCCCTCAGTTGCATAGAGTGTCATATGCACAGGGACAGAGTGTGAAAAGTAACCTGATGAAAAAGGAAATTATGGAAAATAGCCAACAGAGAATGTATGAAAAACAGAGAAGAGAATATGATTACCAGATAATAATAAAATTTGTAGGACTGCCCAAGAATTACTAAGAAGTGAAAATATTAATTTTCAGCACAATATACTCATAAAAACCTCACACTGATATTTCTTTTTACATTGTTGTGATCAAGGGCAGAAAGTAAACATTTTATATTGTTGCTCACAAGAAAAGCAAAGATATTTCAACCATGACTTTTTTTTTAAGAATGGCATAAAATATTTTCATTGAAAAATGTCCCATTTATGTGGACATTGCTTAATAGTGAGAGAACACCATTTACTAGCATGTCACTAGAGATTTGCTCACATAATTCTCCCCAAACAAAAAAAATCGAAAAGAAAAGAAGCAATGCTATTTACTAGAGAAATGGGAGAAAATATGGCATCATCAACCACCAGGGTGAGCTAAGCAAAGCTGCAATCCTTACAGCATCATTCCTTGTGTAGAGTGTGGTTTTAAACTGTCACTGTTACAGCACTGAACCAAATCCAGATTTGATCAGTTTTATATATTTTTCAGCTTTAAAACCCCATGACTGGCATGATAAGAAGATCAAGACATTGACTGACACACCACCAACTTTTGCCTTCTACACAGCCTCAGCCATTCATTACAGAGCAAGTTAAGAATCTTGGCAATACATGCCTAAAATTTTACCTATTCACCATAATAAACAAAACCAACACTGGATAACACCCTGAACGAGACTTCTGAGTGGGCTGTTTCATCTCATGAAAAGGTGAAAAGAAGAAAACTTACAAGTGAATAAGAAAAAAATATACATGTCGTAAATGGATGTGAGTGGCTTACGGTCTCTGCTAACCTCTGCTTTCACCACCATCATCCCAGGAATACCTGCTACAAGAAGAGAGTAAAGTGAAATGGAATGCAGCAGATCAGCAGAATGGACCAAAGGGGGATAAAACTACACTAAGATCAATTTTCTGCTGGTTTCCGTTGCACATTTAAATCAGTCAAGCCTTGGATCAATTCTCTGAAAACAGACGAGTAGTATCTTCTCATGTGACAGAAGACTGCTGAAGGCCACATACGGTACCTGAATCTCAGTCATAATCACAATACCACCACCATGCTCCCTCCTTATCTTTTAAAAACTGTGTTTTTTCAAAAAACCCTCACGATCCTAATATAATTCCTTGTCTGGTACTTTGGAGAGAACTCAAGTGTGACTGAGAAAAAAAAAGAAGATTCAAGCACACAGCATGGTTGGTCATCTGACTTTCAAAACTTCCTTCCAGATAAAAATCAATCTAACTAATGAATGAAAAAAAATTAACCATCTCCTAAAAACAGCAAAGAGACGTCTCAATTACTGATAAATTCCCAATAAATTGTGACATAGGGGATTATCAAAACTTGTAAGAGACTAACATCCTACAACCAGAAAATTTTTGACAACGTATTTTTCTTCTTCAAATTGTAATAGCAACCAGTATTACTGCATCATCAAGAATTTTACAACCAGAGATCTAAAGTTCTCCCCGGCAATATTATACCCAAAAGCAGAACCAAGAAGGAAGTTGGGTTGCTTAAATACAGAGTAGTTCCTTACACATGTGTTTGCCCACATAGATACACATATCATGTACAGTTTATTGTATTGTTGCTATTCCTCCTGGTGTACATCCCACAAAAATGAAACTATAAAATGTTGAAACACAACATTTTTTGCCCTGTGAAACTTACAGAAAAACTTAAAACATGGTTAATTTTAAATAAGTGAATAAATGGTTAATTTTAAATAAGCTACTGGTAGAGTGGTTTCAAAACTTGTGGTGACTGACAAAGAAGAGACAGAGACAAATTATGACAAGTCTAGAAGCCTAGAATGACAAACTTTACTTTCATATGAATGTCCAAAGCATCCCTGTACTTGTTTTTGTATTTCTCTGCATTGTAACTTTAAAAAATCTCAAGTAAGTACCTTCAGTGATCAAATACAAGGTTATTTCTTAACTAAAACAACAAACACACCATTCTCTAAGCAAAATTCACTCTGGTAACTATTTAAAAAAGAAATGCTGCTAAACTAAACCCGACTCTGTGTTTATTCCCACGGCTGACCTACAAAAAGGCAAGGAAAAAACCCCACTATTCTATTGTTTGAAATTTTATATTTAAATTCTTAACATTTAAGGGAAGAAAAAGCCATTGAAATCCACTAATCCCTGTTAGTCACTATACACATTTACTACACACTGTTAAATCAACAATGTATACATTTGCAGAAAACTGGCTTTCAGCTTGGGATG